CTCCTTATTGTCAACAAATATATTTTATACGGTTTCTCCCGTTTGATATCCAAGTTTTTCTAGAAATGAAGAATTAAGTAAGTGTAAGAAAAATATAAGAGATTTATATAATGTAACAAAGTTTTAAAAAATTGTATACTAACTGAAATCATTATCATAGTGAGATAATTATGTATGACTATGAGAAAAGATTATGTTTAAAGAAATATTTGAAAACCTTTTGAACTCTTATATTCATTAAGCATGAAACGATTTCAAAAATATTTCATAATGTTAAAATAATGGATTGTAGGTGATAGCCTTTATTGATAGCCTTTCTCCAAATTATATTTTATTTAACTTACTTTTTTACATTTAAACAAGATATGTTGAATATTTTTATTTTTTTTATGTTCGAATAATTTTAACCAATGATTTATTATAATTTTATTATAATCGCTTTGCAATTAACAAAAGATATTGCATGCAATATAAATTCGTACGACTGGATGAGATATTTCGACACGATAATTTATTCGACGAAATATCATGCATACAAAAGCTATGAGGCAAGGTATTTCACAATTTTGAATATCGTTAATAGAATCTAAGAATTAATACCGATTCTCGATTTTGGTAAATAAACACAAGAGATCCTTGTTCGTTACTTCATATTAATGATATTGTATTGTGCAATATCTTGTCTATGATTGCAAAATGATAAATCGAATAATAAATTTTTGATAAATATTACTAAACAGAATTATAGCACTCGTTACTCTTCGTGAAGATATTAAAAGAAAAAGTTGAAAGTATTATGGATATCTTTTTTATAAGAACGCTGTATACGAACTGACAGATCGTCGAATATTCGGATTGAATAGTTGTAAGGAACTATGAAAGACACGAAATATTGCAATTTTCAACGTCAGGTCAATTAGTGGCAAATTATACATTTTTCATTATCATGCATTTATTGCACTTTCCAGTAAATTGGATGACTAAGTATGAAATATAGTTTTATAAGCATATTATTTTGATAATATGTAATATATAATAACTTAGAATAATGTATTTAAAGTTTAAAGAGTTTAGAAAGAAAAAAAAGAATACTTGAATTTAAGAAATCAAGTGATTAAATTTTTTTGTACTGTTGAGAGATCGATCAATTGGAAATGAAAATAATATAAGGAAATAATTTTTAATAAAAATTTAATCAAAGACTATATAATTTAATGTTAAAATGTATTTTCATTTTTATTCATATTTCTTTTTAATTATTCATGCATTATGTGTGTATATGAAGTAAATTTTGTAAAAAGAAAGAAAAAAACTAATACTTTATAAATTTTCATAATCATCATATAACAATATTTTCTTATTATATTATTATATATTATATAATAATTATTATATTATTATATTGTATTATTATATTATTATATAATTATATTACACTCTCTTATATTATTTTATTAGTTATATAAATTTCTATTATTACAATTTTTGTTATTTTGTTGTTGATAAAATTATTGAAATTTTCAAAAATCCTCTCTATCATTCTATCATTCATTCATTGATACGTATTTAAAATAATAATTTTATTTTATTTTATAAAATTTTCGAAGGAAACAACGATCTTTTATTTACATGCATACTACATACATCATTAACTTATAATTATTAATTTCATTTATATTTTTCATAATTTCTTTCAGTTCGTTTTCCTTTTCGTTTGAATTCCGATCTTAAGGAAATGTCGAAATAAAATTTTCAAAAGTGTTACGAGAAAATAAATCATTAGAATGAAACACGCGATCAAGAAAGTGAAAACATCGATCAGATACAATTTCCACCAGGGTAGATCCACCGCGTGCGATCTCAAAGTTTGCGGTCCATTTCTTATCACATACTCGATCCAATAAATGGCGGTATCCATCGCGCTCATTGGCCGATCTTTGAATATTTTTGATATTTTCTTTGCGGATTCTCTGAAAAAAAAAGAAAAAGAAAATTGTTTTTTATTTAATTTTATCTCATCTGATGTAAAATTAATAATTATATTATATAAATATTATATGATTACAATAATATGTTTGATAGCATGATCAGGATTTATTGTTTTAGCATAACTTTGCTTTAACTTATTGTCGTGATATATGTCACTGATAATACACAATTTGTACAATGTATTGAATAAATTATTTTTTATATTATTTTTGATATTATCGTTTGAATAATTGTATATAGAACAATCTAAATAAAGTATTACTAAAGTATTATTTAATAATAATAATAATTTCAATGTGTTTCTTATAAAAATATTCGCTTGACTTATATTCTCTTATTTTTTATTTCTTTTTGAGAAGAAATTGTAATAATTTATTTATTTATTTTGAAAGAAATTGTAATAATTTAATATTTCCTTTTAGAAAAATTAATCTTTTATTATAATATTTTAAATATATCATATTTATTATGTTATGTATTATATGATACATATTAAGTTAATATTATTATAACTGTTTTGATTTCAATGGAATAAAGTAGCAAATTATTTCAAAAGATAATATACTCGTCTCAAGAAAATTTAGATGAAGTTAAAGAAGGTTAAAAGTTAGATAATTATTAGAGATATATTATTATGCAAAATCATCATGATAAATACAATTACATGATGTGTATAATCTATTGAAGACTTAATCTCAATTTTTGAAAAAATTGTAAATAAGAGTAAAATCACTAAGTGCAATATTATGATTCAGCATGTTATTTAGTAATTATTATGATGACAATCACAATGAACATCACAATATGAACAATGACTTTTTAATTTTCTATAAAATATCTAAATTATTTAGAATATTTTACCTGTATTTAGGATCATATAAAACAGCATCTAAAGCAGAATTTATGATATCCTCGTTGATGTTGTCGATATCTATTGCAACAGCCATATTCTTCTGGGCTAAGGTATATATATTCTTTTTTTGATCAGAGAATACAGGTATTCCTATCATAGGGACTTCATAATAAATGGCTTCCTGAGTTCCTCCAAAGCCTCCATGCGTTATGAATACTCGCGTATTTTTATGTCCTGTGAGAAATAAGATCTTTTAATCCAATATGATCCATAAATTACGCGCTACTCTCTGTAACTTTCTTTGGATCTTGGTTGGTTTTACGATTCTCCATATATTAAAAAAATTTTCTTTGAAACTGCTTTTATTACTTCTCATTAACTTCTTTTAATCATTCTTGAAGAAGATATTCGTTTAAAGAAAAGAAAAATTCTGAATTAATAAATTGTATAATATAATATACGTTTATATTTTTTTTTCTAAAAAAATATGTGATTTATTTACTTAAAACAGCAGTCTGGGGGATCCAAGAGAGCGTCATCGCGTTACTGGGTAAACCAGGAGGTAACTTGGTTGAATTGGCACATCTTATCAACACTTTTATTGGTGATATTTTCGCAAACGATTGGTAAAAGATTGATATCATCTCTTTCGACATCTCTTCGATGGCCAATATGGAGCCCATTGAGAAATATACCAATCCATGATTTGCTGAATCCATCCATTCCTTCAATTCCTATAAAACGAGAAACTATTCCTTATTGTTTCCCTTTACTGGAGAGATGATGGAATAATTGATTTAGGAAAAAATTAGAATAAAATTTCAAAATTTCAAAATTATAAAAGTACTTTGAGCAATATTTTAAAAAAAGAAAAAAAAATGAGATCTTTCTATGAGGAAAATTCACAGAGAATAAGAACTTCAAAATTCTCAAAAAAATGATTAGGAAAAAGCAAAAACTTTTTAAAATCTTACCGGATTTATTTTCTGATCGGATTCAATGATGTGTAATCCACCAACTTCGATGATAGCTGGCGTGACCGCTCTGATCCCATGATAACTGTGATGTGAGTTCACTATAGCCAGGCTTACGTTTCTTTCCAATTCTCTGATATCTGGTATATTCGGTAAACCTAGATATTTTCTCATTATATCGGTTTGATCGCTCGTGTAATAGTAAAATTTTTGCTCTTCCTTGTAATTAACGATGAAATTCCACAGACGATCGAGGAACGTATCCACTACAGGATAATCGTTATAATGTCCCGAAAAGAAGCCATAATTCGATGGACTTCCCATAAAATTATCGATATAGGGCATTTCCAGAAACGATACTGCGATAGCCACTGGTGCGTTCAACAAATGACCAAATCCCAAATAACACGGTGAGGCAAAATACTGAGAAAAGAAAAATATATATGTATAATTTCTCGAAATTTAACATTATAATATAGAAATCTTAATTAAAAATAAATATTAATTATTATAATTTCTAAATGATTTCTAAAATTAATTTTATGTATACGTTTTTTTCTCGTTAAAAAATAATTTTCTTATTTACAAAAAAAAAAAAATGTTAAATTACCATTAAAAAGTTACCATTACCATTAAATATCATGTTCCAATTAAATATCGTAAAATAGTTAAAAAATTATGCAATAATGCTTGAACAATGGACTCTATGTTATTCGTATCTTATATCGAT